GGTAAACCTCCCCTTCTTCTCTTCTTTTTCTATTCTCTAATTTCTATTCCTCCCCTCTCTGCAGTACCTACCCTTCAAAAAATGAGTAAATCATTCGCAAACATAAGGTGGTTGATTGGTTCACAGTTTCTTGCTAGCCTTACGATTTTGAGCCTGCCTTAGATGGTTTCTCTGTGTAAAAGTCTAGATAAAACATTAATACAAATGATAAAGAGTGATGGGGATGGGGGATCTCCTTGTCTGGGGCCACGTTGTGTTTGGAAATTTCCTAGTGGGCCTCCATTGATTAGGACTGAGAAGTTGACTGTAGTAATATACTCTTTGATCAGGTTAACGAATGGTGGAGGGAATTTTATTAATGTAAGGATGGAAAGTAGGAAAGGCCATACAATCTTGTCAAAAGCTTTTGCAAAATCAATTTTCATCATCACTAAAGCTCATTTCCCCTTTTTCTTTTTCAACCGATGGACAATCTTGTGTTAGCACTAAATTTTCAACGATTCCTCTTCCTGGTATAAAGGCTGTTTGGTTTTGGGATATTATTTTGGTCTAGGTATGCTCTTAGTCTATTTGCAAGGAGCTTTGAGATCACTTTATATACCACATTACACAAGCTGATTAGTCTAAAATGATTGACTATGGAGGCTTTTGAAGATTTGTGAATGAGGCAGACATTTGTTCTATTCAGTTTGGTGAGTATATGCCCTCCTGTGAAGAAAGCCCTTACCATGTCAATAAGGTCTTAACCAGTGGTGTGCCAATAGGTTTTATAAAAAATTGTAGGCATGTCGTCAGGTCCTTGTGCCTTGAATGATGGCATTGCAAATAGGATGACCTTTATTTCATTAGGAGTTGGAATGGCACAAAGCTTTGAGTGATGGTATGGGGGAACTACTGGCTGTATGAGGTTTTCAAGGTCTAATGGGAATTGGGGAGTTGAAGTTGCGAATAAAGCTTGAAATTGAAGGAGCAATTGGTTACCTGTTTCTTGTGTTCTTGTTGCCTGGTTCCATTTGGTAGCTTTAGGCAATCGATAGTTTAGTTCCATTTGGTAGCAATTGTTGAGTGCATCCCCTTCACTCATCCATTGAATTCTTGACCTTCGCCGCCATAACTCCTCCCTCTTTAATTGTTCAGTTAAATCATTTTGGAGTATTCTCTCCTCCAAGATGGTGTCGGCTGTTGGTTCTGATTGTTGAAGCAGATCTAATTTTGCTCTGATCTCTTTGGCCCTTTGTATGCAATTTCCAAAATGGGCCTATACTATCATCCAAGAATCCTTGACTACTAAGTGGCTAGATGGTTCTCTTGTCCATATGGCCTCAAAGTTGAATGGTTTGGAAAAATTTGATGTATGTCCACAAGAGTTTAGTAGTAGGGGTGAGTGGTCTAATTCTATGACCGGAAGATGCTTGATTGTGGCTTTGGGGAATAACATCCTCCAATTTAGGTTACTATACCTCGATCTAGTCTTTCTTTAATGTTTGCAAGACTTTTATGCTTGTTTGAGCGGGTGAAGGAGTTTCTATTGTAGCCTAAATCCACCCATCCTTGGTTATGTAAGAGGGCGTCGAAACCTCCATTTGATGAGCAGACATAAGGTCTCCCTCCCCTTTTCTCCTGCAGAGAAGTGAAATTATTAAAGTCTCCCATGAAAATGAGTGGTCAAGGGGACTTCATTTGTGATCTAGTTCATGGTGTCCCATAACTGTTGCTAATATTTGTGGGGGCATAAACACAATTCAGGAGCCATTTGGATTTTGGAGGGTCAAAGAAAATGGTTGCTGAGATGATGTTCGAGTTTGATAAAATAATGTCCAGATCAACACTTTTCCTCCGGCATAGGCATAGTCCTCCTAAGAAGCCTTTTGAGGATGGGATTTCCTAATGATGAAACCCAAGAGTGGGCAATGTTTTTTGTGCTTTTTGGTGTTTGATTTTCGTCTCAGATAGGAAGATGATGTCTGGATTATACTCCTTTATTTTAGCCTGTAGGTGACGAATTGTCGAGGCATGGGTTAGCCCTTGACAATTCCATACGTAGATGATCATGGAGAAGTTGGGGGCATGGGTAAGCCCGCCTCTGTAGTCGTATTAACAATCTCTTTAGTCCATTCGACATTTATTCTTTGTAGTGTGGTGATTTTGCTCGTGAATTTCCATAACGGTCTCGTACTTTGAGTCTGTGTATGCTCTGTTTGTGCTGCTGAGTCTACAACTCCTTTTGGGGGTTTAGTAACGAAGAAAATGGGAGGTGTAGGTGTTTTGATGGAGGTGGGATGGTTTGTGGATTCATTGTCATCTCCAGGTTCCATGGAAGGTTGAATGGTGTAGTATCCATCTTCTCTTCTATAAAATTTCTTGTGTTTTTTTTTTTGGGGGGTGGGGGAAGGAAGGGAAGAGTGAGCTTATTTTCAAAAGTAGTACTCTTTAATTGATAGCCTCGTGAAGATCGAAACCAAACAATTGTCAAGGATGGTGGATATTTGTTGATCGAAGGGGATTGGGGAGGTGGTGGAAATGGAAGGATAATGGTGGTCCTGTGTGAAGGGTGTTTGTGTAGATAAAGGATAGTTTGTTAGAAGCAAATGAACGTTTTTGGGTTTAATCGGGCTTTGGCTTGTAAAAAGATTTTGCGTTTTGGTGGTTTGGAAAGTATGGTAATTTCCTGGTGTTGGTTTTGATATATTACTTAATGGATTTGGTGGGATGTGTTTGGGCTTGGAGATAAGTTGGGAAATGATGCTGGTGAGGCCTTCTATGGGCTTGGGTTTGGTTTGGGGTTGGTGGGGTATTTATGAAAATGTGGTTTGGATTCGGGGTGGGATTGGTGTTTTGGCAATTTAGGGTTTGTGTAGAACAAGGGTTTTGTAAGAGAAAATGGGTCGAGGGAACCTAAGAACTTTGTGGTGATAGGGATGAGTCGTTGTGGTCCCAGTTGTCAAAGATGATTGTGCGCACGTCCTCAACGGTTTTGATCCCAAATCTTTCCTGCTAAAGTGGCTTGAGGAGTGTGGCATCCACATGGGCTCTGCATGTGTGCTTTCACGCTCTGCCGAAATGGTTGGTGGATTCTCCGATTGGTTTTCCAGCGATGTAGGTGATTTTTCTGGTGAAAGTTTAGTGTCAATCAGTTTCCATGGGAGAGCACGAAGATGTGGCCTGTAGTTTGTATGCTGATCAATTGATTTCTGGAACTTGCAAGATGTTTTTTCATGCCCAATTCTTCCACAAAAATAACAATAATCACCCAATTGCTCATAGCGAAGTTCAATTTTCCTATCTGGGGCTTCTTTCCTTGGATTCCAGAAATGAGTTCTTAGAGGGTTTTGTGAGCTCTAGTGTAACTCTTGTGCAAATCTAACTTTTCCAAAGCATTTTTTGATTTATCCTCTGTTTTGGTGCAGTTGGTTTGCCTAGTGCCTGGGCAATCCAGTGGGCATTTTCAGATGTTATCAAATCAAGGTGGGAGACCATGAGCTTGTACCCAGAAAGGTGCTGAAGCGAAATCCATCTCAGAGATGGGTTTTGCCATTTCCCATTGTTTGAGAACGAGCAGCTGTCCTCTGACCGACCGTGGGCTAAGGTTGTAGATTTGACTTTTGAGTTCTTCATTTATGAAAATGAATATGTAGGTATCATTCTCACCATCTTTGATTTCTATTCCTTTGCTTGCATTCCATGAGTGATTGAGGATGGTTTTGACTGCATTCCTATTCATATGCTTTTTCGAGAAAATTTTACCCACCAAGCAGGAGGATGCAACAAGTTTATCTGTGCATTCATCCGATTGGAGTTGAATGGTTAGGTTTGGTTCATGGCTTGAGGTGGGTGAGTTGGAGAAGAAGAAATACAAAAGGGAAGGGGGGGGGGGGGGGG